TCCTGCTGACAATATCTGTTTAACTGAACTTTTCTTTAGAAGAGGATTAAGTCATATCAGGTTCAGAGTGAAACCCTGGCCAAAACTTTGGCTTTTCAAATTTTATTTTCTTTAGTTCTTGCATTTAGATCCTTGCACAAGAAGCAAAGAGGACTTTGCCTATGCGTATTCAGCAAAGACCTTGATTAAATGTAGCATGCCGTTATGCTTGGAGCACATACTAAATGCATAGGATGGGAAATTTGGATAGCTGTGTCAAAATGAATAGAGAGCCTCTGACCTCCATCAGCTGAGAATCTGCCTACAATTTTTTCGTGCTTAATCTGATTCCTGAAAGGTGACTTGAAATGTGGTAGAAAGATGATTCTTTAAAACATGGGGTGCTTTGACAAAGAAGTTTTGAGGCTGAACATCTCCAGTCCAGAACGTCTGTTCTCATCAGGGAATCAGTGTACCTCTAAATTGAGAAAGTATTTTCCCCCTTGAAGGAGTATCTTCACTTGGGATAAACTGGATGTTAACCCTACTGTCATTCTTACATTAGGAATTCCTTCCTCAGCAGTTCATTGTTTTGGATTCAAGATGGTCCTTATCAGCTTAAGGTCTGGGGCTTTTTGGCTATGCTGCATGGCAGGGGCTGATCTTGTTGAGGGACTGGTAGGTGCTGATGGCTGATGTCTAGTCCTTCTCTGATGAGGAAGGTAGCCTAGTACTGTTTTCTGATCCTCCCAACTTTGGTAGGTGGAGAAGAAGGCCAGAAGAGGAAAAAGAGCAAGCCAGAAGCATTCCCAACAGCTGAAGATATATTTGCAAAATTCCAGCACCTTTCTCACTTTGATCAGCACCAAGTCACATCTCAGGTATGAAATTTTCAAGACTGCTGTCCTTGCACTCTGACTGTGTCCCTTTGCCTTAACGAGAGCAGCTTCCTGGAGGGAAAGGGAGATGGGCCTGCTGAGAGACTTTGCAAGGGGAGATAGTACTGTGTGTCATCTTGTACTTGCAGGTATCTCGCAATGTCTTGGAACAGATCACCAGCTTTGCCTTGGGAATGTCATACCACCTGCCTCTGGTACAGCACGTGCAGTTCATATTTGACTTGATGGAGTATTCACTCAATATCAGTGGTCTTATCGACTTTGCCATCCAGGTAAGCGCAGTGTGCTGAAATGCTTCCTGAGGGAGGGGTAAAGCAGTAGATCTGTGCTGTGATAATTGGGCTGCTCCTGGGATCATTGGTGACCCTCTGACCTGTGTCATGGAGGTGGTCAGATTAGGTGGTCATTGCAGTGCTCCTGGGTTGCAGCTGTTAGGAATAGGTTATTTGTGGCAGATAGTCTTACATGTTCTGTTCCAAGGATTATTCTTCCAGAGTCTTCAGGGTTGTCTTTGAAGGACTTCCATTGCATCTCTGTCCCTGGCTGCAGCACGGCTTTGTTTTGAGTGAGAAGGGGATCATCTGTCTCTGGCAGCTCTCCCACCTTGCTCCCTTGGAAGGGTCCTTGGTACATGGCAGCACAGGCTGCCTTCTGGATCCTGATAAAATCCTGTTGCTGTTTCTGCAGCCTGTGCCAGGTGTCTCTTGAAGCCTTGCTATGGTTGCTGACGGAATTGAGGCTGTTAGCCTTAAAGAGGGAGCCAAGTGAGATTTATGCAGGACAGAATTACTGAACAAGCTGCCTGCTATTATCTGTGGCCATATCCCAATTGCCCTCTGATAGCCAAGCACTGACAGCCCCTTGTACTGCCTGAGTGAGACCCTGTGTTTTAAGTATGGGGTGCTAGCTGTTCCAGGGGGTACATCTGCAGGCAGAAAGTGCCTGCTGGTCCCTTTCCTGGCAGGTCCTATAGGCTGCGGGTGTTGTGTGCCTGCTCCATTTCTGACCATACCTTACCCCTGTGGCTGTTGAAGGGTTTTTCTGTCATTGGGTGCAGTTGCTGAATGAACTGAGCGTGGTGGAGGCAGAACTGCTGTTGAAATCCTCCGACCTTGTTGGCAGCTACACCACCAGTTTGTGCCTGTGCATCGTGGCGGTGCTGCGGCATTACCACTCCTGCCTTATATTGAACCAGGACCAGATGGCTCAGGTCTTCGAAGGGTAAGGGAATCTTCCCCTCACCATGTGGAAGGAAGCAACATATCTTCTGGGTGCTTGTAAGGGGCAGGGACATATCTGTGTCTTTCCTAAAAGGCAGCAACTTTGTGCCTGAGGGTTCAGCTCACAGAATTTGCAGGGGATGGGATTTGTTACCCAGTGAGCACTGTTGCTGTGAGCTCGGGAAGATATCTATGTAATGAGGTTATTCTTTCAGATTTTCTTTTTGTGTTGCTGCAGCATTTTTTTGTCTCTATACAGTCTCTATCTCTACGACCTGTATACCTCCTGCAGTCACCTCAAAAGTAAATTTGGGGAGCTCTTTAGGTGAGTCTGAGACAGGTGGGATGCAGTGGGTGCTGACTGATGTTTTGAATGGGGAACTGAAATCTTGGGAGTAGTACCTGTTTTACAGGCAGTAATGACCCAGTGTATAATCTTGACTCTGAGATTGTCAAGTTGTTTTTGGTAAATTGCCTTCAGTAGTCCTCTGCCACCTCCACAGGATAGAAGTAGAGAGGTCTGTTCCTACCAAACTCTGATGACTGAGCAGTTCATCCTAAAGGTTGTTTCTGCTTGTGCTCAGCTCCCTAATAATCCTTGGACTGCTTCTGAACCTGCTCTGCTTAATTCCAGGTTTGTTCCTGTGCTGCTTTGCAGTCCTTACCCTCTTTCTGCCCCTGTTGGCTCCTCAGGTTCTGCTCTGCTGATGTTGCCCCCAGGCTCTGTCCCATGGGTTTACTTTATTCTGTGGCCTTCTGCCCTTTCCCGTTTCTTGGGAGCTGTCCCCCCATCAGCTCCCTGTGGAGCTCCTCCCTTAGCAGCCCAGACATGGAGTCCACAGATGCCCCTGGATTTTTGCTTACGTGATCCTGTGATGGGATAATTCCCCTGGCAGCCCTCTTTCCCAGTGCAGTGCTTCACTTGGTCTTTTCTCACAGCCCCGGCTCCCTTTTAGTGTTTCCAGTGCCAGCATGCTGTAGGGATGTCTAACCCTTGGTGTTACCCCCCCATTGAGGGGCTGTGAGAGTGGGTTATGCCTTGGTGTTAGCTGGCTAAACTCCTGGCTGCTGAGAGCCTTTGAAGTCTCTCTCTGGACTGAATTGAGAGCAAAAGGGAGCGCTGGGGTCACAGGTGCACTGGAGGTCTTTGAAGGAGTCATCACATCTATGGAAACGAGAAACCTGATACTAGTCTAACTGAATTCCAAAAAGCTGTTCAGCAAGGCTTTAAAGTAAATGGCCTCAGATAAAAGGGAATATCCTCTAGCAGGCAAACAGTAGGATAGAGATCGAGACAAGGGGTGGGAAGGAGTCTGGGTTTTGAGGATGGTCCCTCCCTGAGGAGTCCCATAGGGTTCTGCTAGTGCTTTTGCTGTTCTACACATCAGAAGTTGTGTGAGTGGTGATATAAAAACTTTTCATATAACTGTTATTCAGCATATAACAATAGAAGTTGGCTGCAGATTGTTGTAGTAGGGCACACTGATTATGACCAGGTGATAAACTGGCAGATGAAGTTTAGCATTGTGGAACATAAAATAATGCATATAGGATTGTCCTTGTTCCCTTCAAACTCTCTGTAGTGATGGATGTAAGCTACTGGTTGGATAAAGGATCTGTGAGCTCTAACAGATACACAATGGAAAATGTCATCATAATGTTCAGTAACAGTCAAAAAGCAAATGAAATGTTGGGTATTGTTTGGAAAGGAATGGAGACCAGACCAGAGAGCATCATTAGGCCACCGTTTAAGTCATGGTGCAACTGTGCCTTGTGGTTTGGGGCAACAGACTCCAAAAAGCATGTAGTGGAGTTAGGCCCAAAGGAGAGTGAGTGGATAGATGACCAGAGGTTTAGAATGACTTACTTAAGAGGAACTGAATCTCTTCCCCACAGAAGAGGAGGACTGAGTGGGAATGATAGAAGTTTGCAAAGTTCTGGTTGATATGGAAAATAAACGAATGTTCAATATGTCTCACAACACAAGCACAGAAATAAGTGAATAGGAAATAATAAATGGTAGGTTCAGAACAAAAAAATAAACTTCACAGTTCTCATAGTTAACATGGAACTCATTCCATGTTGTGAACGTCAAAATTCAAAAAGTAGGTGGACAAATTTGCAGGAGGAAAATCTGTTGAGGAGACCATTCTTTAGCTGAAAATCTGAGAGCCCAAAGTTGCAGCAGTGTGGGGAAGGATGTTGGATCAGTATTGCCACATGCCTGCCTTACTCTTAAACTCTTCTCTGGGCATTAACAGTTCTGACACCAAGGGCGGAGCTAGGTGTTTCCCTGGTTGGACCTGGAATAGCCATTCCCATGCTATGTACACTGAGCCCACAGGTAACTTCCAGATGCTTCCACAAGAAAGAACCAGCTTCAACTCTCTTGGGAGAGTCTTCATTGGTACACCGTGCTCTTGAGTTTCCACGTGTTCTTGCCCAGGGAGGGCTTGTCTTGCGCAGGATTGCTTTGCTTATCAGAGTTCAGTGGAAGCTTAGTTTTTTGTGTTCCTAATCTCTCTTTCCTGTCCTGTTTAGTGACTTCTGCTCCAAGGTGAAGAACACAATCTACTGCAATGTTGAGCCATCTGACTCCAACATGCTATGGGAACCAGAGTTCATGATTGACACTATTGAAAATCCATCTGCACATAACTTTACTTACACCAACCTGGGCAAGAGCCTCAATGAAAACCCAGCCAACCGCTACAGTTTTGTCTGTAATGCACTTATGCATGTGTGTGTGGGACACCATGATCCAGACAGGTGAGAGGCAGAACTTTCATGGTTCTACTGAGACAGTAAAATCTTTAGGTGAGGGTGAGAAAGTCAGCCATTCCTTGGCTGTCTTGGGGTGTGAGGAAGAAGGAGCCAAGGCTGGGGTCCCTTAGAGAATCACTGACCTGATGGTATGCATGAGTAGCAAAGTTGACCCTCTGCTCTTTTCATTATTTCTTTAACAGGGTCAACGACATTGCTATCCTGTGTGCTGAGCTAACTGGCTACTGCAAGTCTCTAAGCGCCGAGTGGCTGGGCGTGCTCAAAGCTTTGTGCTGTTCCTCCAATAATGGGACCTGTGGCTTCAATGATCTCCTCTGCAATGTTGATGCAAGTGCAAACATTCAAAAGGGGAAAAGGAATTGAAGCAGGAGTGGAGGGTTCCCTTGGGAGAAGGCAGAAATGAACAAGGGATGGAGGCTTGGTCTTCTGTGGACAGGGGAAAGGCTTTGAATACTGGGGCTACCTTTTGGTGTTTGTTGCAGCCTGGGCTGATCATGGACATTGACCTGGGGTTCTGGGCCCTCCTACCCCCCAGCTCCTAGGAAAGCTGAGGAATTGCTGACAGAGGGAATGAGGCAGAGGCTGTTGTGATCACTGCCTGATCTCCTCTCTTCCAGGTCAGTGACTTATCTTTCCATGATTCCTTGGCCACCTTTGTTGCCATTCTCATTGCCCGGCAGTGCTTGCTGCTGGAGGACCTGATTCGCTGTGCTGCTATCCCCTCACTGCTCAATGCTGGTAAGTGCATCACTGCAGAAAGCTAGTCTTAGTCTCAGTTCTGGCCCAAAGGCCTGTGCTTAATGGATACTTTGTGAACCTCATACTTGTGAAGCATGCCTCCAATACTTCTTTTATAGTATGGTACTTAAGAATCTAATGTTTTGCTTTAGAGAGTTTCTGGTCTTTTGGGTTCTGTCAAAAACTGGTTGTACTAAGGTTTTTCAATGTCTTGCTCTCTGGAATTTGTGTGCAAGCTGAAATAAGCATGGAGAGATGTTATCAGCCATACTGTCTGACTCGTGTACTCATCTCTGAACTCCAGCAGTAACACCTCCCACTGCTGATATGGTTCAGCTTAGCATTTTGGCTAGAGCAGCCAGCTGACCTGTAGCACCTGGGTCACTCTGCCTTTACTCTGCCACCAGGCTTCCTAGTTTTGCTCTGGCAATTGCAGCATCCAGACTCGGACAGGATGAACTTGGGAAGACGGAGCAAGCAGAATGCAGTGCATGTCATTGGGGATAATACTGATGGATTTGCTCACTTGCATGCACATGCTCACTTGCTGCACATGCTCTGTATTTGTAAATACTGCTGCAGCTTCTCAACTGGCTGCTCCAAGGCAGTGCACTGTGAATAACTTTTGGATTGAGTCAACTGTCCCAGTGCTTAAGAAATCTCAGTTGATTGTTTTCTTTACGTAGCCTGCAGTGAGCAGGACTCAGAACCAGGAGCCCGTCTGACCTGCCGGATTTTACTCCATCTGTTTAAGACTCCGCAGCTGAACCCGTGCCAGCAAGATGGCAGTAAGTGAATGAAAGTGGAGCATTTCTTTATTGTGAAAGTATTGAGGCTCTTGCACCCCAAGAAAAGAGATGCTGAAGCCCGTGATTAGAGATCATGACCTGTTTGGTTTGAATAAAGCAGGCGAAGCACTGCTTTCTGCAGAGGACAAAGAACAATATCCTTCCATTTATGTCACTCCATGGTAGCCAGGCACGTTGGGGAGGAGGCCCTTGGAGGCAGGAAGCCAGCCAGTAGAGGTGGCCTTGCCATTACTAAGCTGTTAGAGTAATGATCGCTTCTTCTTTTATGTCTAGAGCTTTGTATAGCCTCTTAACTTGGTGCCAGAAGCTGTTATTTCATAGCACTCCCTTTTTGTCTTTGATGGAAACAGTCCAGGAAGCTCTGTTCTTGGCTCCTCATCAGTATACTGATAGCTCAGATCTCTAAACCCAGCCTGTATTCTAGGTTAGGGTACTGTTGGAGCTTGGAGTTCATGACACAGGCACTACTCCCCATTTGGATTTCATGGTTCAGTTGTCACAGCATGATTGGCATTATGTGTTGCAAAACTTAATTAAATTGACCCCATGTTATGGTTGGGAAAAGGACTAGCCTCAGGATTCTCTGAGCTGGATTCTATAGTACTGGCTGGCACATAATTTGGGCAGCTCTGGAACCTGTGCTTTTCTCTCTTGCTGGGTATTACCCTTCCCCATTGTCCTCTTTGCAGACAAACCCACGGTGGGAATCCGCTCT